ATATAAAGCTACAACACAGGTTACTCTATACTTGCTTATGAGACTAGGTGATACTCCTTATTAGGTTAAGCTATCTTACTTTCATATTGCCATACAATATAGATGCACATAGGAAGAAAATGTTCGCCCATGGCACTAAGAATTGGAAGCTCAAGATAATGCACAACTTCAAGCTAAATAAAATTTAGAAAACCATAAAGCAATGCCAATCAAATCTCATTATCATATATTCCGCCATATAAGCTTCGACCCATAATTATCCATCATTGTCTTACCAACAAAATTGAGCCAAACTGGAAAAGGCCCTTCATCGTTAAAATTATGGAGGAGGAGCTTGTGAACTTATTGATATAAAAATTATAATATCCATGCCTCAAATGGTCACTACTCAAAAGGTATTATATGTAGTTGGATTTCACTTAAACTCATCAAATCTAAAAGGTAAGTTATACTCATTAGTTCAATAAGTGCCAACTCACTTCTTGTATATGGTTTGACTCTATAAAACTAAGGATTGAGGCATTCTACAATCAACTTAGCTAGCTCAAGGAGCCAAACATGTTAAACTATTGCAACTCATAAACTTAAAAGCTTAAGTTAGCCTATCTCCAAAAATTCTCCTATCAGATTGGATAAATTTCATCTAAAACCTCTTCAAAGCAATTTAATCACGCTTTGCAATTCGAATCCCAAAAGTCACTTGCAACACATGTTTATACCCAAGTAAAACTGCGCAACATGGCAATGATAATTCTCAACTCACAAAACCAAAGGGTCAAGTAAACAAATTTCATAAGTAGAATTAGTAAATTGAATCTCAATCTCAACAAGTCCAAGGATAAATCCTGAATATCAAGTTCCAATTTAACATTCCTAATGACAGAACTAGTAAATCCTCTCAACTCAGAAATTTAAAGGATTAAGCTACCCCATTGATTCAACAAACTCAAGAAGCTAAATCAACTCACTAAATCCAAGCTCAGCAAGTCTAAAGATCAAGCTTAAATAGCAACTTGTAGTTCAAAAAGCCTAAGAGTTGAACTGGTGAAGTCTTTACGTTCATAAGTCTAAGGGAAGAGCTTCCTCATAGATACAACAAGATATAAAGGTAGCATCAACATGTAAATATCAAGCTCAACAAATTTAAAAAAAAAACTTGAATATCAAGTCATAGTTCAATAAGCCCAAGGGCCAAACTACCTCATTGACCAAATAAGCTCTAATAGCATAATCAACATACAAATCCTAAGCTCAATAAGTCTAAAGGCCAAGGTTGAATATAAAGTCCAAATTCAACAAGCCTAAGAGTCAAATTCGTGAAACTATTAGCTCACAACCTAAGGTCGAGTTGTCTCAATGATCCAACAAGCTCCAATAGTAGAATCAACATACAAATCTCTAGTCATCACGTCTAACGACTAAGCTTGAAAACAAAGTTCCAATTTAACAAGCCCAAAGGCCAAATCGATGAAACTCTTATCTCAAAAACCTAAGAGCCAAGTTTCCTCATTGATCCAACAAGCTACAATAGTACAATCAACATGCAAAGCACAAGCTCAACAAAGTAAAAAATCAAGCCTGAATCAAGGTTTAAAAAGGCTAAATCAGGAATTGAGGCATTATGCCTTAGTGAGGTGAGGTGTAAGCATCGAGGCGAATTGAGGCATAAGCGACAAAACAGAAAAATAAAAAATATATGAACCTTCAAATAATTCATAAAAATAAAATATTAATATATTTTTTTATTCGCCATCATAAAGATATAAACTACAAATCTCAAGATTAAATATTATTATAAAATGAAAAATTGAAATAAGATTCAAAGTAAACAATCATTTAAAATATAGCATCATAAAGTTTAGGATCCACGACGACCTCATTCTTACTTTCATATATCTTCGTATGCAATAATTATGTCATTCTCAAAATCTGACTCATTGTCATATGCTAAACCTTCTTCAATTATAATATTTTTTAGCTCCCCATATTAATTAACATTAGATTCAATTTAACATAAAACAAAGCAACATATTAATAACATAAAAAGGAAATTTATTATATTTAAATCAGCATTTGATATTTTTTTAAAGTTTTAACTCCACTTTGCTACTTTCTTTAAATTAATTGCGAAGTAGAAGTTACATCCAATTCAATAATCATTTTAACATTAGCATTGATATTTTCATTCATCTCATCATCAAACTCATTCCTCCATTTTCAATTTTAAATCTTTCACTATTTTTTGCTATTATCCATTCATCATTAGATAATATATCATTAACAATCAAAAGATTTATTTCATCATCACAAGTTATTCTTTGAAGTGCTTATCTTTCAAATTTTTATTAAACATAACACAATTATTCAATATTGTTCATTCATCCTATAGTTATTTGGCTTCTATTCCTTATATAATATAATAAAGCATATATATTAATAATAATATATTTAGTAAAAAATTATAAAATTTAACTAGAATGAGATGCTACCTCGAAACGTCTCGAGACATTAAGCCTGGAGGCGTGCGCCTCATTTAAAAAAGACGTAAGCCTTACTGACACTAGCAAGGCTTAAGCCTCGAGGCATTTAAAAAAGGCGTAAGCCTTACTGACACTAGCAAGGCTTAAGCCTCGAGGCGCTCATTGTGCGTCTCAGTTCGAGGGGGGCCCAAGGCGTGCGCCTCAAACGATTTTTTAAACCATGGCCTGAATATCAAGTTCTCGTTCAACAAACTTAAGGGCCAAATTGATGACCTAGCTCATAAATTTAAGAGTTGAGCTTTCACCCCACACAATAAACTCCAATAGCATAATTGACATATAACTACGATGGTTCTAAAAGTTAAGAATTGAATAATTTCCATTTTAATTTAACAAGCCCAAGGACTGAACTAGATAAACTTCTCAGTTCACAAGAAAATGGGCTGATCTGCTATGCCAATTTAATAAGCTCCATTCGTCAAGTTAACATAAATATGTTGTCTTAACAAACCTAAGAGTTGAATTGAACCCTAGTCCTACTGAACTCGATTTCAAATTATCTTAGGAAAAAAATGAGTACATTTGGCACATGCAAGCTTGTTTAGAGTTAAGATTATCCTAGAGGGGGGTGCAACAAATATACCATAATAGAGCAGCACAACACATTTTGTTGGGGGACAATTTTTTTTTTACTTTAGCCATATTTAACACAAGAAAAAACAGCTTAACTTCCCATGATCGCACATCCCATATGTTATGCATGTCTCACACGCACGCTCTCTTCATTTGCTTGCTTGCTCGCCTCTTCCTCATGCTAAAAAACTATGCACAGGCTGCTCTCTTGTCAAAAACAAATCCTCGTCTGCTCTTTTTGTATTCTTCTCGAGGCTACTCCTGCACTGTTAGGTGCGCCTCCCTCACACTTGTCTCTCATCCATAGGCCACCTATAACAGTCCCATTCATGCACCTCCATTATCTTCCAACTATCGATATCAATGTTATTAGATTGAAATATATGTGCTATAAAAAGCATGCTAATGCACCCATGACTTCTAAATTGCCCCAACTCACCAAGGGTTCCAAAAACCTCTAATTAATTGAAATGATCATAAAGTCCCATCAAACTTGTCTCAAAATAATGGCATATACCCATTTGATCAAAAAATAAGACCAAGACCCAAATCAATTTAATGATTCCTGGTTGTTCTGAAAGTCCTAGTGAGTACCCATCATCTTGTCGTCACACCTACAATAAAGTCATAAAATCATACTTATAGGTCATTCAAAATTCAAAATAGCTAGGCTAACATCAAAATCCCATTAAACCGAAGGTTGCTAGTCCTAATCTATTAAATGACTTTGATGAGTGGAGGTTCAAGCACTAATGATCCTATCAAAATTCAAATTGATAACTCAACCCAAATCTTTGCTTTAACTTATAGGTCATCTGATGAATGCAAGCCCCAACACAAATTTAATTTGCCGCAACTCCCACCCTGATAAACCCAACAATCAAAGCCAAATTGACCAATCAATTAAAACAAAGCCAATAGAAACCATGTTTCTTAGGAAATGCTCATTTGGGTCAAACTAAGTTTTGTAAATAATTAATCATGCCATGCCTCTGAGCTCTTGCCTAGTACCTCTGAACCACAAGTGATCCCTCCGTATTATTCAGTGAAAATTTGTACAACTAACCCCTTGCTAGTGAAAGAGTCGTCATTATAATCAAAAGCATATCTACAACTCATACATATATCCGACTCTAGAAGCCCTCCAATGTTGGTAGACTTTGCCCATTAATATATCCAAAATTATTGAAATATGCATATTAAGCAAATATAGATATACAAATAAAAAGAATTTGTAAAACTTGTAAACCTTTACTAATTGTATGATATATTCAATACACGATTATATAGTAGTATATGCATTCATATGTGAGGGGTACTTTTAATTTCCAGGGACAGAATATGACTTCAAAGCAAATGAGCCTGAAGTCAAACGGCCAAGAATCTTATCATAGGACTAAATCACTTCCCACTTTCCCATCATCGAAATAACTAAAATGGTACAATTCCCTCACTTTTTATTCCCTACTTCTTCATGCATTGCAACCAAAAAAGCACTAGTTTTTACCAACTGCCATATTTAGGATGATAAAAAATAACTTACTTTTCTTCTTCAATTCACAAAAACATTAGCAAAAAGATTCTCATAAGCTGCACTAGCTTACTGCTTGTACAGCTAGAAAACTTGATGGCCAAAAACCTGCCTCTATTTGAGTTAGTTTATAATGCAATTCGCTGAATGGGATACAATAACCAAAAATATGATAGAATCACATGATAAACCACAGTTTAATCAACCCAAAGGATCACATGGAAAAAACAAAACGAAAGCCTAAAAATTTGATGTGTAGTAATAATCTTGTTTTCTTTCAAAAAGAATATGTCAAATTACCATATAAACTTCTGAAAGGAAAAAAAGGAGAGATATCAAATGATCAAGAATATCACCATCTAGTATTTCCTGGTCAGTGAATAGCATGAGTGGTCCACTGTGACGGAAGAAGGATCACATGAAATGGTACTTCAGATAGGATAACCAGCATTACTTTTTTGAAATAGTATAAGTCCTGGAAGAGAGTTGTGATAGCATCAGGAAAGTTCACCATTTCAAGCAAAGCATTGTTTAGCAATACTGATTTTCTTTGAACGTCAAACTGTCTCACAGATAGAGAGCGCCATGTATTTGGAAGAAAATTAAAAGAGCAGATTTAGGATTCAAACTTACACATAAATTTTGAGGCAGATGAGCGCCTTACAAATGCAAATTATTGAGGAAGTCCGAAAGCCTGATGCATCATTAAAGATATGATCATTGGTAACTGGTAACAATCTCCATTTTCCAATATCAAGTATGAAAAAGAAAAACTTCTATCAATTAATTAATGAAAAAATATTGATTAAATGACATCGAGAAACCTGATATTTTTTGCTATCACTATACTTCCATCTTCAGCATCCAGGTGCCGTAATACGACTTCTTCTAATCGGCCATCTCTGTATGCATGCTGGAATAATATATGATCAAGTAAGAAAATACATCACAAAAAAAAAAGGAAAATCATAAAGAAAATATTAGCAGCAAAATATTCAGTGGTAGGAAAAGACAGAAATGGGAGTCAATGATATCAAACAAATGGATAATGTTGCTAGATGTCAACCCATCACGACTAAAAAATTTAGCAGTACTTCAAATAAAAAAAAGAGAAAATTCAGTATAGCAGCAATAATAACACAGTTTGGGGTCCAGGGGGTGCAAGAGAGCTGAACCAGCACAAACTTGGCTGATGATTTCTCACAAGCAGGAGTCATCAAGGTAGAGAGTTGAGGAGGCTGGCAAAATCTACTCAAGCAATAAATAAGAACAAGCTTGAGCTAAAGCCAAGGCCATCTCTTCGATGAGCAGATTCATTTATTCATAATCCAATACTAAATATATTTGCAAGTATTATAAATTAGTTTTCTTCATTGCATTGGTGAAAATTGGAACTTAACTTTACTACCTTTGCACAAGCTCCAAAATGAAAACAACACCAGCATTATTATCCCACTGAGTCTATCACTCTTCTTGCTTTTCTTCTACATTTCTCTTGATCTTCCTTGCTCTTTTCTCCATGTTCCCCTCTCTCAACAGCACCTCTCCCTCTCAGTAATTTTGAGCCCTCTAGCTCAACCTCCTCTAACATTGCCAATTAATGTACTTCTGCTACCAAATAATACTGTTGTCACCACCTTTCCTCCACAGCAGCTAATCTGTATAATGCCACCATCATTAAATCACCATCTCACTCTACCATCATAGCCTTTCCTCATAAAAACCTATTATACAATAAAAAGCGGTGACTAAAACAGAAGAATCAAGAGTAAAGGGAGAACCGGGGGAGGTAGAGAAAAGAAGGGATAGAGAGATTTAACTGAATGAATACCCCACAAAAAGGAAGACAGGAGGAACTTCAAAAGAAACATAGAAAAAAAGACTCACATAGGGAGTAGGGAGAATGAACTCCAAAAGTGAAAGTGAAAGCAAACTCTAATTTATTCCATCTTGAACTACGTATGCACTACAAGATTGGACCCTATTTATAAAAATAAATTTATTGACAAAGAACTACACCCAAACAAACAAAAAATGGTAAAATAGACCCTAATGACAAACATAAAATTCAAAAATTTTGAAAAAAACAAGACTCAATACTAGGGGTGCAAACGAGTTGAGTCGAGCTCGAGTCAGGCTTAATTTGAGCTCGACTCGCGAGCCAAATCTCGAGCTCGAACTCGAGTCTAGCTCCAAAGGCGAGCTCGAACTCGGCTTGCGCCAATGAAAACGAGCTCGTCGAGTGGCTTGATTCCACGGATGGAGCTCGATTTCACGTCAGCGACCTACCCGGCAGTTGGCGATTCCAATTTTCGCTTCATCCTTCTGCGTCCGAGTCTGTGTCTGAGCTCGCCCTGCTATTCTGATTCCGCACTCGAGCCACTCGACGGGTAATCGAGCTGAGCATCCTGAGGATTGAACTCGAGCTCGATAATCGAATAAGCTCGAAATTCTACTTAAGCTCAAGCTCGAAACTCAATAAGCTCGACTTGCGAGTCAAGCAACACATTCATTTTCATAATGTCGTCATGGACTATTTAGTAACATGCCCCCTTCGTGGAGGTAGTCCACATCTTCCACCACATGAAACACAATATTTAATCATCAATCGCACAAAAGGGGTGTCATACCGCCTGCTACATCTCCATGGAGTAAATCACAAAGAGTATCTTAAGGTTGTATTCTTCTGTGTGGTATAATAGCCTATAAGTTGGATGATATATGGGTATGAGAGGCGGAAGGCATTGTGCAACTATCGGCAAGAGTAAAATCAAGTTCGAACCGATGTCAAACAAGGTTTGAACATAGGCCAACTTTTGTTCAAATTTGGTTTGACCTTAGTTCAAACTGGATGAAAAATATGGATCGACCTTGAAGCAAACCAGGCCAGCTTTTTGTTTGAAACTCTTTCAAACCACTATCATGATCTACACACACGTTTCCATGCAAGAAAAATTATCCATGGAAGAAGCTAAAATAGAAGCAGAGTAAAAATGTGCATGTAAAAGTAAGAAAAAATGCTACTTTATGTTAGAAAAATTTTCTTAACTATGCATTTAAAGGCAATTTGGTCAAAAAATTTTAAGAGGATATTTGCTAAAAAAACACAGGTGAGAGAATATTACTCCAAAAGAAAAGGAAATGAGTTATAAAAATTAAAATTTTCTAAAAAATTTCATCAAGAGTTAAATCATCCACTCAATTAATTTATAATTTTTACTATGTATGAGTGATTAGCTTCCACATTCAAGATTTATTTCTTCAACTTAATCAATTGACTCACCAACTTCAACAGGTATAATTTGTTCAATTGCCACTTTAGGAATAGATTCAACTTCACATAGAAGCTATGATCCATGTTTTGGAGTTCCTATGGGAAGCTCATGTTCACGATTATGGTTATAATTTATGTTTAGCAATGAGTATTGGTTCATGTTGATTTCAAATTCAATGTCAACATAAGATTCAAATTCAAAAGTAATATTACACTTAAATATGATTTTTAGCTTGAATTCTGACAGTTCAAATTTAGATTTAGTTTCCTCGTAAGCATAGTTTTCAATGGCGCAAAATAGCACGCGTCATAGCGCACGGCACGGCGCGGCACACCTACGGCGCCATGTTCATGGCAAGGCACATGTGTTTAAAATAGCGCGCACTATTTGCGTCGCATGTGAGCCATGGCGCATGGCGCACAACACAAAATAGCGCGCCAAATTGTTTAAATGTGACGTCCACCTCTTAAAATTTAAAAAAAAATGCTTAGTACCGCTAGGTACATGCTCGGTATCTCTAGGTACATGCTCGGTACCGCTATGTACATGCTCGGTACCACTATGTATATTTCCATACAAACGACTTACGAACTTTAAAAATAAGCAGAACTTCAAAATTGCTCTTACAAATAAAATTTGTTCTGGGTGCAGCGCCCCCTTGGACCCCCAGCAGCCCGGCATATTATTGTATTCATCAAGTCTGTTTTTTCATGAGTGCATGCTTTGTATAAGTTTTCTTCATAAGTGCATGCTTTGATTGGGAAACATTGGACTCTATAGGAGAGGAAGTGGTGAGGACTTTAAATGTGAATTCTTGTCTCTTGGACAATATTGTTGTGAAATGTAAAGTTTGCGTCATGTTGGACAATATTATTTCATATTCATGCTTATTATTTTATAATTCTTATATAGTTTGAGCCATTTTCAAAATGGCGCAAGCCGCGCCGTGCGCTATGCGCCATGGCTCCAAAGGGACCTTTGCACCATAGTGCGTCATTCACCGTTAACAGATATGCTCATAAGTGAACTTAACTTCTACTTGAAATTCAAGTTGTAACTTTTTCTCAAGCACAACCTTTTTAGGTTTACCTCCACCTTTCTTAATATAGGCCAAATCTCGTACATCTACTCTCCTAACCAGGTCATCAAATAACCAACACTTTAAGTGACTCTCTCTAATCTTATTTGCGATTGGAGCTACTCCAACTTTCACGCGTATACTCATTTTGCATTCCATCTCTAAAGGTAAAACCACTCATCAATCTGAGCATCCTCATCTCTACAAAACTTAACTTAAATTTTATGCTTCTCTTTTACTGGCCAACATTATACACCATAAAGCATTGCATGTCTTACCACCATCTTATAGAATTTTCTCTTAAGTTTGAGAGGTACTTTTCTATCACACAACAAACCCGATACATTCCTCCACTTCAAACATCCAACTTGAATTCTATCTCCATTTATTTCACCATCTTTGAACAATAGACCCCAATATCTAAAATTAGTACTCTTTCTAATGACTTAATAGCCAAAAATCAAAATCCCCTGACTAGATCTATTACTACTAAGTTACAGTCCATATATTCAATTTTAGATCTACTCAAATGAAAACCTTTAAACTCTAAGGTTGACCTCCACGGTTCAAGTTTACCTTCAACTCCCTCTCTAGTCCTATTGACAAAAAGAATATCATCAACAAAAAGTACCCTATCTTGCAAATGTCTAGTAAGAACATCCATGACTAGAGCAAAAAGATATGGGATTTAAATTGATCCTTGATGTAATATACCTGAAATTGAAAAATACAAGGTCAAACCACCCTATGTTTGAACACAACTAACAACTCTTGCATACATATCCTTAATGACTTAAATATAAGTTTTTTTTACCACTTTCTTTTCTAGAACTCTCTAGAGCACTTCTCTTGGAACTTTATCATATGATTTCTATAAATCAATAAATATAATATGTAGATCATCCTTATTCACTTTATATTTCTCCATCAAACCTCTCAATAAATGTATAGCTTCCATAGTAGACCTACTTGGCATGAATCCAAATTGATTTTAAGAAACATTAATATCACATCGTAAAACCTATGCTCCATAACTCTCTCCCATAGTTTTAAAGTATGACACGTTAACTTTATTCCTCTATAATTCGTACACTTTTGTGCATCACCTTTATTCTTAAAATAGGAATCTCCACTCATCTGACATAGTTTAGTCTTCAAAATAATATTAAAAATTTTCGTAAGCCAAGAAATCCTTTCATCTTCTAAGATTTCCACACCTTTATTGGAATATCATAGGTCCAATAGCTTTCTCACACTTCATTTACTTTAAAACCTCCCTAACTTTGAATTTACTAATATGCTGATTAAAATAAAAATCTCTATTTTTATTTAGGGTGTTATAGTCACTAAAGAATCATATTTTCATAATCTTCATTGAAAAGCTTATCAAAATATCTCATTACTTTTTGTTGAATATCCTCTTCTAATAAAAACATTATTTTATCTTTAACCTTGATGCACTTCACTTGAACTAAATCCTATATATATATCGCCCTCCTTAGTATCTAATTTATTATATAAATCATTAAAAACTAAATTCTTTACATCTCATATTGCTTTATTAAACTCTTTACGGACCTTTTTATGTCTCCCAATTTTCAAGCTTTACCTAAACCAATTTTTATAATAAAATTTCTTCTTTTTATATTTTCTTGAACATTTTGATTCTGCCACAAACTATTTTTGTTATTATGAGTTTTTCCTTTTGATACTCCAAGAATATCATTTGCAACATTTTTAATACCATTGGCTAATTTTTCCTACAAAACATCAACATTCTCATGCACAATCTAAAATCTTAAGATCTTAAATCTTACTCACAAAAATATTTTTGTTAGTATTCTTCAAATGCTCCCATGTAAACCAAGAACTAGGGGTGTCAAAATGGATTTTCGAGTTGGCTTTAAATCCAACTCGAAATTGACCCGCCCTTGATAACTCCTACCTGAAGTCGACCCGAATATACAAACAGGTTAGAAATTTGAACCCGAACTCGACCCACTACAAATTCGGGCCAACCTGACTCGACACGTAGACCTGGGTGAGCCTAGCACGAGGCAGTCCGTGAGCGCGAGCATGAGAAGAGGTCAGCACAAACATGAGGCAGTCCCTAGATGTAACTGCTCACGCCTATGAAATACTCAAAAAACACACATATAGCAAATACATGCAAAAATAGAAAGAAATATGGCACTATGTTTCAATATTCAATGCTCAATTAATTTTAAAAGCCTCAAAGTTATTATATAGACTTTCAAAAGTCCAAAATAAGAAAATACAAAATATGTAGTAATCAACTCAATAACAGCATGTTTTAATATATCCAGCATGAATTTTAAAATTTATCATAATTTTTACTTCCAAAATTGCATTACAAAATCTTCAAAACAGAAAAATTCCCAAAGCAGAGAGCAGCAGCAGAGGGCATAGGTGGTGCAGATCTGTAGTAGAGAATATTGGGAGAGGTAAAAATAACTTAGTGCAAGGCAAGCACAAGAACCAAGTAGGATAATCAACAAAAAGTTGGTGTTGCGATAGTATAGAGGGAAGAACCTGGAGGCAATAACAGACGATAAAGATAATGGAGGGAAGGAAGGTCATCTGCTTCACTACCCGTCACATCTTTTAAAATACTTTTTAAATAAGTATAATGATTTATTAACTTGTTTTTATATCTCGGTGTCCTTTCAATGTTCGCTATTCCTATCGGTGCTCAATCTCAAAGCATGATAATGCTCCGACCTTGAAGTAAATTTTCAGTTTAGTAGCCCACATCAGTATGAAACAAATGAGAATCAGAAAAGTAAATACCTTGTAAAAACAGCTTGAACCAAAAGGACAAGTCCCATTTCCAAGATCAAAGTACTTGCAATCTATGGTCCTGCAAAAGTACAACTTACGTAAATACATAGGATGAGGACCAACAGCTCCAGTTAAGAGGAGATAAAAGCTGGTTGTCACGACATAGGACGAGTAAAAATAGATAAGATACAAGAGTAGCAAAAAAATTTTCAACCAAAAGTATATGCTCTCTACAACAGCTTAGAAAAACAAAAACTAAAAGCCTGCCAGAGCACCTGAACTAACAACACAACTGGCCAATTCCCTGCAAACTATTCAAAAGTATAAGAATGGAAATAGTATAATAGGAAAGCTTTAATTAGCTAATTAATAATCGATATTTTTCTAAGTATGGTTTTATCCTCATAGTTGAGTTGAATTTTTGTTTTATTTCTTAGTTCTTGAATTCACCCTAGTTACCTATATATAGGTACTCTTCTCTATCAATAAAAAGCTTCAAGTCATCAACATGGTAGCAAAGACTGGTTATTATAACACCAGATATCGTATCATCCACAAGCACTCCCTCTTTTCATAACAAATCCTATAAGTCTTAGCCTTCTTGCTCATGCATGCCCTCGCTCTCTTGCTCATTCGTCTGAATCGTGCAATATTCATTGATGTGCAGGCACCACTAGCTGTCTTGCTCACAACACACCTAGCATGTGCCTACACTACACCTACCTAATCCCTACAGTTTCATCTACCTTCTCTTCAACAATCACTACATATCAATAGCATTGTTGTTTGAATCATCCTCCACCACAACATCTTTGAGAGTTCATTCTTACCTCCCCGTCCCTCTCTGAGTTTGAACATAATACTTGTGAACATGAAAAACATCACCAATCATCCACTCCATCCTATATGTCAAGTTCTATTAGTGCCTCTTCTGAGTGAACTCATTCAAATATTTGGGATCCAAGTCTTGTCCTATCAAAAGAATAGACAATTTTGGTTGATTCTCTCATGTCATCTAACTGAAGTATGTCTAAATCTTTTTCCTATAACCAACAATCAAGGCCGGACTTTACTTTAAATGAATAAAATACCTTTTCTATATGAGATATGTTTGGGACGACTGCAACTTTTTGAAAGGTGGTTGTAAAGCTATTGTATGGACAGTAACTTTTTGAAAGCTACTGTAAAAAATTGCTTCTTAGTACAAAAAGTTATTGAAAGTACTAAAAAAAGCAATAGTCAACTAGAAACTATGGTTACAATCTGAGATATAAAGAAGTAAGGAAGTTATCCCAAATAGACCCTTAGTTATGCATATGGAGTAACCATCTAAGTAAATTTTGAGAAAAAGAACAACTACTTAGGTTCAATATGCAATTTTGTAAATCCAAAATAAGAAATGTTGTAATGTTCTCATGCTTGGCCTCATAAATTTTATAAAATTCTTGTTGAAGTCAACCTTCATAGCAATTTAACAAATCACTCCAGCTTTGTCAAACAAAATTCATTAAGTTAAGCTATATTGGCAATTTGTTAATAACATTCTTATTGGAAGTGATCAAAACGGGATCACTAAGGTAATGGATTATCTTAAAAAGTTTTTCAAATTAAAAATCAAGGTAAATCCAACAATTTCTTGGGCACCGAGTTTACCTACAGCAAAGTGACTTCATTGTCTCAAAGTAAGATAAAACCTTCTAGAAGTATTTGGTCTCCTATGTTATATCTATTGACACACCTATTCACACAAAAAATTACAGATAAAGTGAAGATGTTCAAAAATATCTCTCATTATTGTTGGTTAATCAGAAAAATGATCTACTTCACTATCAATATACTACATAAATCATTTTTTTGCTGGAGTTATAAATCAATGCATGTAAGTTCCTAAATAAGAACATTGGGAAGTTGCTATTTGAATCCTAAAATGCATATAGCAGTCAATAGGAAAAGGACTTCTATATAAATGGAATGGACATCTTCATGCAAAATTTTTTTTCAAGGTTAAATATGTTAGGTGGGTCCATTGGATATACAAAATTTACAGCTAAATATTAGGGGCCAGTTTGGGTGGTCTTTTTAAAGGATGTTGAATTATTGTGTAAAAGTATATTTTTGTTTTAATTCTTATGGATATGATAAATATTTTTTTATTTTAAAAAAATTGGATAACAGGTTTGTTGCAGCTAACACACTCTAGTATATTTGGTTATAAAAAGTTATTTATCACCACAAAAATTTCTGAAAAAAAGAATGTGATTGTCATCTGGAAAGTAAAGTTGTGAGAAAGCTGTGCCAAATGGATCTTATATTTTTGCAGGAGGCAATTTGGTCACATGAAAGAGCATGAAACAAACTGTGATTGCAACATCAAGCATTAAGGAAGAATAAGAACCATGAAACTCTCTATATGCAAAATGATTTAGATTAAGACCATCCTTATAAAATTAACTTTCCAACTTATGAACCTATATCTTATATTGTGGCCATGGTTCAACTAATTATATTGTTACTAATCAAGTGCTTCATGACAAACAAAACACATTGAGGTTGATTATCATTTTATTCAAAAAGCAATGCTATCAAAGAGGATTGTTGCACCATGTTTCAAATTCAAAACAACAAGTATTTTTACTAAGGATCTGAGTCCACTCCAATTTTCCAAGCTATGTAACAAGCTAGAGCTTAGAGATATAATGTTCTTAACTTGTGGGGGACGGTTGAAGAGTATAAGACTAGAATAGTATTATAAGAAAACATTAGTTAGCCTTATATTTCAATTTTAGATTTTATTCTCATAATTGAGGATATTTTTATTTGTATTTCATGCCTATTGTATTGACCCTATTTTCCTATATCTATGCACTCTTCTCTATCAACAAAACATAACAAAGTGTTCCACCCTTCAAAACAACTTGAAACTTAATGCTAACATAATATGAAAGTAAGATCAGCATAGCACATAACATGCTAAAGAAAAATATAATGAAATGTCAAGAAAACAGTTTATATATTATTCACAAAGACAAAGAAATAACATTATACTTAAGCTTGGCTTTGTAGTTGTTAACAATCTCTTGCTTCTCTTCAGATGTTGAGTACCAAATGACACTAGGAATGACAAAATATGAAAGCTTTCGGCACATTGGGCAGGCTCTTAATGTACTGTTGACATCCATTCCAATTGATGGACAATTGCTGCGCCAATTCCGGATACATGAAATGCAGAAAGGATGGTCACATTCTGAAAGTATTCCAAACTTCCGTTCAGCAGGTGTTGGCTTTGAAAGCACACGATCCAAGCACACACTACATTCTATGTCCTGACTGAAGCGTAGAGCTTCAAGATGCTGATTATTTTTTTGGCATAACTGCATATGTTCTTCTCTTTCATCAGGTCGATATGGATGCAAGCAATGTTTTTTGCAGATGGAACACTGATCTCCGTGAATGTGAGGACACCTTTCACCATGAGAGCAACTACCAGCAGCAGCAAATGAACAGATTGGTTGGTCTGCAAGGCTATTAGCGGCAGGATCATGGCCAATGGGATAGTCTTCATTGACACTTAAATCAGGGAACTGGGCCCAAGCAGGTTTACTGAACGGGAAAATGTGTTTACTTGAAACTGAGAACTCAGCAAGGGAACTAGTAGATGGTTGGCACTCTCCATTCAACAAAACGTTGGATGGATGAATTGCTTGAATAGACCCAGTTCCAATACAAGGACGTGCATTCGATAATGGCAATGGCACATGCGCTTGGCCACAAGAAACTTTAACATGATCATACCTACAACGACTGCCAAAAGAACACAGCCCTTTCTGGTAAAAGGTGCATGCCTATAGGCAAAAATAATTACAAAAAATAAGAAATAAATCGCAGGCATTGAATACAGAAAAGTTCAAGCTCATCATAGGGAATTTAATCATATTACATTGTTGGATTGGTCCTTCCAATCATGAGAGAATTCACAGTATTCCCCCTTAAAGCAAGCTCCATGCACAAAGTACTTACATAAGACCCTGAAGGAATTAACATCACACAAATTTAAATGTAAACAATCAGACTAAATAACCACCCCAGCATCTACATTTAGTAGAAATATGAAGCTGAAAGTGAGCAGAGTTGGCTCTAGTTTAAGAAACAGAATCAGCATATAATAGGAACACTCCTCAACAGTGGCCATGATTTGTTCCGGATAGCAGAATTCAAAGTTATGACTTTGCCTGACCATGGATTTCTAGTATGTAGCATTTGCCATCTTTGACTAGATCAAATTTAGTAGACCAAAAAAATCCACTGAAGTGATTCTATTTATGGAAAATAGAAGTAAATTTTCTCATCACACTTCTCAAAAATGTAATTATCAACCAATATATCAAAATAGTTCATAAGAGCTTAAACAGTAAAACGAATTTTCTCAAATATCAAGTTCAAAACATCCTTAATGATTGCTTTACATTTCTTATAAATAAATCAGCAGCAAGGTGTCATCTTGCAGGATACTAATGGCGAGACTTGCATGATTAGCGTGATAAGGGATGCCTTGTTATTTGGAGTGAATACCATAATCAAGTGAAACGAAAATAATTTACATCTTGTTCGTTTTAAATTCCACCGAGTTGAAGACACATGATGTTGAGGATTAATAAGAACATATGTTGAGGATTAATAATAACATATTGCAAACGTATAAAATAAAAAGGAAATGAGTAGATCTCAACAACTCTACCATGAACGATTCCAAACCAACAACCACTTCAACAATTCCTAATAATAATAGGCCCTACATAAAAGGAAATAAGCAAAGCCGGTAAATCCGAGAAATATTAACAAGCGCCAAGAACGGTAAGGACAAGGGGAAACGCACCGCAGGCTTTAAAACATCCACGCGATAAGCAAACTCAAAAGATAAATAAATATGAAAATTATGACCCTCGATTGAGAAGATGATGGTGATAAGAAATCACCTTTTCCGCAGTGAATCAGCCTGCAAGGAAGGCGAGAAAACAAAAACAAAAAGAATCAGCGACACAGAAAGTAAAGGCAAACAACGAAGGATCAATAAACGAGATATAGGTAGAATTGAGCCCTAAAAGCTCGACGGATACCATAGTCGAATGCCGTCGACAACCCCAAGATCGGACTCAGGTTCAGAGAAGGAATAGGAAATTTCAGAGTTTCGTCCGTGATCTTTTTTGGGATTTGGGATTTTTACATACATACCACTTCATAATATATATATTACATATTTAACACCTAAAATTTAAATATTACATTAATACCACCTAAATACTATTCTCATAACAAAAATACCACTCCGTCAGTTCCCGTCCATTTTCGTTAGGAACGCCCTAGCACCCCGCCGAAACCTCTTCTCTTCCTCCCCGCTAGCTGTCCCGAGCGGCATTCGCCCCAGCTCCGCTCCAGTTTCGTTCGGAAAGCCCTTGCAGACCATTTCTCTTCCTCCCTGCTAGCTAGCACCCCGTCCGGAGCGGCATTTGCCCCATCTCCGCTCTCTCTGTGCTCCCTCCGGGCGTCTTCATCAGGTTATCTTCTACGCAGAATTTCTCACACTTCACTCTTGCATTCGTAGAGGTTTAGTTCAGAGATCGGTTTTGCTTCAAAGATTTTCCTAACTTCAAAGAATTTCCCACACTTCACTCTTGCATTCCCACACTTCAGAGATCGGTTTTGCTTCAAAGTTTTTCGCAAACTTCGTTTTTTGGTGAATGAGTTGCTGCGAAGCTTCAGATATTTTTTTTTTTGTTGACAGATTATTTTAACATTCGAAATGAGTTCAACGAATTCGTCTGGCACGAGGCGCACACGAGCTGAAGTTTATTGTTATTGTCGGCTGAATTGTGTCTTGTATGGCATGCATCTAAACTTATAAGTGGTCTGCACCCATATAAAAATCCATCCACACAAACCTTGACACTAACATAAAACCTTTGGAAAGAATTATCAATAGCATTCAATGTATATGTTATGTGTGAGCCCGGGTTTCTATCAAGTAATTCTGCTGTCATTGTTGGAACCCATTTGTAGTTGGCATCAACTGAGCCAAAAATTGTGTCACGAGCTTGCTCTCTTACCCTCCAAAGCTTCATATAAGGTAGTGATAAACCAAAATCCTTCTCTAAACCGCTATTTATTTCTTTTGGGGGAATATCTGGATACCTCTTCACCATCTCCTGAATCTGATTAGAAACCCATGTAGATGAAGCTAGACGATTTCCAGCACGATTAATCCCAGGGCATGTGTGTTCTCCATCAACTCTCCTAACTTGAAAAGATTGAGTGTCTTCACATAGGGATGCCCGAATTCGCCATTGACAACCCTGAAAGGAACAAGTTGCAATAACTCTTTTCTTATCACTGGCTTTTATCCTCACCCCAAAGTTCTCTCTAATGGCAAATGATCGGAGTGCATTTTTGAAACTTGTAGCATCATTAAATATAGTACCTACAGTGATATCTGTAACACTAGATTTTTTAAATCTCAAAGCACCATCGTTTTGAGAAATGGACCCATCTGTTATTTGCTCAAAATTCTCAGTCCCCTTAATCTGTGAGTTTGATTGATCTTCATCAACTTCGTACAATGAGATAACTATTTCGGCACGTGAATTTTCATTAATGTGTGAGTTTACCAACAGGCTCACGTCATCATCATAATTAATTATTTTGTACTCCTTGGGTGATGTTCCATTAATGTGATAATGCATGTTGTATTGATGTCCATTCAACCAAGGACATATTCTAGCAATCTCTGTTCTAATCTTGAAAATATTTATATGTCCTTTCACAAGTTTCACAGTCCTTTGTTTGCCGCCAATATATCTCTTTCTAGACTGGTCCTTTTTGTCAACCCAAATTCCTCCAAATTTAAAAGCAATAAACAAATGCTCTTCTTTATCTCCACATAAATCATCTATTTCTTCGTCACAATCACAATCCTGCATTACCGAATTATGCCATGAGGATGTCATTTTTTTTAACTTCAAGCTGAAATAAACACCACATCACACAGTTAATTAGTGTAAAAAATCGAAATATAAAAGAATAACAAAAATGTTTCATTTTTAATCTGACAAAAGTTTCATAAAGCCATAAACAAAGGAAAATGTTTCATCCATCTATTGCAGGCAAGTATGGAATTCTTTCACGGCTACAGTGTGGAAAATGCCATTTTCTCGGTAAAATCTTGTCGGGTAAAGCAGGTTCGGTAAAAACCTCTCAAAACCGGTGAAAAAAAAAAGATTGTCGGGTAAAGCAGAGCAAATACGGTGGAAATCAGAATAAATCGCATGGAGAAAATCGGAAGAAATCGCCCATGGAGGAAATCGGAAGGAATCAGAATAAAACCCAGAGAAAATTCACCTGGTTCGGTAGAAGAAATCGCATGGAGGAAATCGGAAGAAATCGCATGGAGGAACAGGTTCGGTAGAAGAGCAAATACGGGTTTCAGGGTTCTACCGCGAAAAATCAAGGCGGGAACGTAAAACGGAGTGATATTCGCTGTTAACGGAGTGGTATTTCTGAGGTAAAAATTGATTTTAGGTGGTATTGGTGTAATATTTAAGTTTTAGGTGTTAAATATGTAATATATATGTAATAAAGTGGTATGTATGTAAAAATCCCTTTTTTTCCCTCAAAACATACATTTATTTTATTTTAGGAAATTTATACATACAAGTATACAACATAATTTTAATATTATATATATATATATATATAATATTAAAATTTTGATACTTAATAATTTACTAATAGAATTATTTAATATCTCAATTATATTTAATACATGCATAAAAAGAAATAAATCACTTAAGAAAATAGTTTTAGTGATATTGTGATGTAATTTAAAGATAAAATTGTATATACGTAAATATCAAAATTTAAGCAAAAATTTTCTATTGAATTTTTAAATTATTTGAACTTCATTTTCGACCAATTTAAAACAATAAGATGAATAAAATATTAGCAAGAATGTCTAGATCCAAGTCCAAAATTCAAGTACTTTAAAAAAAAATCTAGAGATCCTTTGATCTGTTAAATGCTCTTCAAATTGTATGTTTATAGTCAAAATTAACAATCTCTAAGACAGTTGAAAAAACTCAAAATATATCAATTATGACTTCATTATAAGACTAATGCTTCTTTTAGAATGGCTCTTACTATTTTCTAAAATAATTTTTTGATGCAAAAATTTATCAATCAATTTTTAAACTAAAGAACTGCTTTAGAAAACAATTAAAAAATTGTCTAAAATATATTCTACGTTGTACAAAAAATATAACATGATCAAAATTGATATATTTAAATCGTTTGATAGCATGCATAGGATTTTTTAGTAGAGATGATCATAATCCTCTCATTTAAGTCTTTAAATGGACTATTTATAAAACATTTAGGGATGCTCTTCAATAAATAAGAATGTATGGTTGGTATAGAATTTTACAGCTTTATGTCATTACCCAACATTAATCATTGGTTGAAATTGACACTCACAATCTATAAGAAAATCTCCCACATCAAAATTTAAAAATATTTACAGGGCTATAAGAATGCATAATCATTTTAATAAATATTTATTTTGGAGAAACTTATGAACTCCGAAATAATTCATATATTTGAAATTAAAACTTACCACTCATACTAATGCAACCAACTAATGACTTCCTGTCAACTTCAATTAATGAAATACTCTATTTTAGATATATTATGACAAGTCTCTTGTGCAAGGACTTAATGCTGATGAGGTGACCTATCGTGATGTTGAGATAAGTTAGTATAAAAGGTGTTATTGACGCTATAACTGGATGAGACATAGAACTATAACACCTTGGCAATTGAAGCTATTATCTTGTCTATGAGCCCACATTCACCAACAATGCCAATCCACATATAGAACAAACGAGGCTTCAAATCTTATAGGTAAAGATTATAGATGTGTTAGAAAAAGTTGCTCTATGACGATGGGACTAGGAATCATCACAAGAAGAGTGTTGCCCTCTCCTCACCATTCTCAATGGGCAAGGAAAACCTACCACCCGAAACTAATACAATGTCCTTTAAAAGCTGCAAGTTAGGTCATGATGAAGCTTCCTTGTATATTGTTCATTAGAGTTTCTTGCTCTTGTTCTTTCTAGCTCTTCTACCTAGGCTGAAGTGAACTTAAGGGAACTTGAATGTTGTTAGGTGAAGCTAAAGGAATGGTATCCTCCAATAAGTGATTCCAGGAATCTTTCGTAGAATGAGAATCATGAGAGAACCAAAACACTAAGAGGGGGACAAATTAGTTTGGTCTAGCAACGAGGTTAACAATTATGAGTGAGCTAATTGAGCTGCCAAAACTATATATATTGACATCTGCCACAACTGTAAGATCTTGCACTATCATTGGCATTGCTCCATCTATAACAACTAAGGAGAGTACTAGAAACGATTGATTTGTTGTTGTCTTAGTTCATTTGGAGTAATTTGTTTACTACTTTCTAAAATAATTTCTTAGGACAAAAATTTTTAGCTCAAAATATTTTTTTACACAAAAAAGTGTTTTAAAAAACAGTAAGAAAGCTATCACAAACGAAGCCTGAACAACTTTCTTACTTATTTAAGAAATAGCTTTCTAGAACAAAATTTAAGATTAAAAAAAATGTACTAAAAACTTACTTCATAAAGCAGTAAAAAAGTTTTCCCAAATGAAGTCTTAATCTATTATGTTGCAACTTAATCCCTCATAGGCATAGGATGGAGGGTTATAGTCTTAGTTTGGATAAGGTTACTTGAAGTTATCTACGCTTGTGTAATCAAGTCCCTAAAGCTAATCACACTCATTTATCAGTGCATAACTGAAAGAAGAAAGAGGAGATAAGAAGCTAGAGCTGAGAAAGGTAGAAGAGTGTAGAAAGTCAACAATGTATTAATCCCATAACAAGAATATAGAGGGAAATTACTATTAAATATATTGTAAAATGTATACATAAATAGCTAAACATAGTGTATAAAATATTCTGGACTAATTAGCAAGTTGAAGATGATTGCCACTATGATGTGGAGTGGTGGCATGACATAGTGGAGAGAAGCCTTTCTGCATAGTTGGTTATGGGGAGAGCATTGATCAGCGAGCTTATCACCACCCCTCAAATTGATTAGCCAAGAGTTTGTACAGATAATTTGTTGTGTAGCTGATAGAATTGTATCCCTTATAGTGCTTTAATGAAGATGTCAGCAGGTTGATCATTTGGTTATAATGTTCTAAACATTTATTTATTTTAATCTGATTCGAACCCTAATGAAATGATAGTTAATTTTGATGTGCTTGGTGCGGGAGCAAAATTCTAGGCTGTTTGTGAGGCAATTGATGATATGTTGTCACAATAAGAGGAGTTGGTGTGATTGAGGGGATCGAAAAATCAACTAAGAGTCGACAAAGAAAAATAATGTCCAAAGTAACTAACACAAGTGCTATGTACTCCGCTTCCGTAGAGAATTTAGCTAGTGTTGGTTGTTTCTTTACGCTCCATGATATGAAATTGGGACCAAGAAAGGAGGAATGACCAGATGTGATTTTGCTGTCAAGAGTATCTAAAGCCTAATTAGAGTCTAAATAGGATTGAAGTGAAAGTTCGCCACATGTAATTGGGAGGCCAAGTGTGTTTGTTCATTTAATGTATCGCAAGAGGTGTTACATCTGTTGATAATGCTTGTTGACTGGGTTGTGCATGTATTGACAAAGGAGTTTTATAGTATAGGCAATGTGAGCTTGTGTAAGGGTGAGGTATTATAGGGATCCAACAATTTGATGGTAGAGGGCTGGTTGAGAGAACTGCTATTCACTATCAATAGGAGTGGGAAGCTTAGGGGATAGTTGAGTGGGTGCCGATTTGCATTTGGCAAAGCCAAATTTGAGTAGATGGTCACTGCATACATTGTTTGCTAAAGGAAATATGTAAGTGTGGAGGTTACCTGAATGTTGAGGAAGAATGTGATATGACCAAGATCTTTGAGGAAGACTTGCTGTTGTAGCTCAACAATGAGAGTTGAAAGGAAGGCTTCATTATTGATGGTAACCATGATATCATCAACATATAGCAACTTAAACATTTGAATCATTTGTGTTAAGTAAATGAGTGGGGAGGGCTCAACATTGCTAAATTTGAAGCTATGTGATAAAAGAATTGTGAAGAATGTTTTGAAGCATTGGCGAGGGGCTTGTTTAAGGTCGTAGATTGCTTTGTTGAGTTTATAAACATGGTTGGGATGAAGGGAATCCAGTGGGTTGATGCATATATACCGTTTCATCCAACTTGCAACGAAGAAAAGCATTGGATACATCCAGTTGTTTGATTGGCCATTGATGATGTAGTGCAGTTGCAAGAAGTAATTGTATTATGGGCATTTTTGCAACTGGGCTAAATGTTTATAAATAATTTACTCCATCTTGTTGTTTGAAGCCTTGAGCCACAATATGAGCTTTGAAACAATCAATTGAGCCGGCTGATTATAGTTTTGCTTTGTAGGTCCAACGACAACCCAAGACTTGTTATTTGGATGTAGGTGGAACAACGGACCAAGTTCCTTGGCGTTGGAGAGCAAGGAATTTTGTTGACATAGCTTTGTTCCATTCGAGATGTTTTGATGCTTGAGAGTAACAAGTTTGGGTTGGTGGATAATGAGTTGAGCTATGCGGTTGAAGATTGTGTTGGGTTTTAGATGTCCTGTCTTTGTTCAGGTTTGCATGTGATGGGTGTTGGTGGGTAGACATGTGGCTTGTTGAGAGGTAGAATGTGAAGTGAATGTGTTGTTGGGTGTACGGAAGGTTGTGTCATGGTTTGTATGGGCTAGGTAGAGGAGTATATATGTATCAGATTATTGTGTGAAAGACTATGGATTATATGGGGAATATTGTGTAGTGGTATTATGAGGAAGAGAGTGTGGTACTACTAAAATAGGAGAGGTAATAGGTGGAGGTGTGATGGTTCATGGAATATAACATTATGGGAGAGGAAAATTTTTATAATTTTGGATTTTATAGTAGTGATAACCTTTGTGAATGTTGAAGTAACCAAGAAAAAGGCATGTAGTGGAGTGTGGATCATGCTTGTTTGATGTGAGTGGTCTCATCCATGGAAAACAAAGGTACCTAAAGGTTTTTAGGTGATCATATGAGGGGATCTTTTTTTTTGAAGAATTTGAAAAGTAGATTTATTTTAGTGTTTTTAGAAGGAAGTCTGTTTATGAGATAAGTGGAGGTAAGTAATGCTTCGAGCCAAAAACAAGGGGGAGGTGAGCTGCATGAAGTAAGGTATGAGTTGTTTCAAGTATATGTTTGTGCTTACGTTCAGAAAACTTCATTTGCTCTGGAGTATATTGACAACAAAAGGTGTGTGAAATTCCTTTTTGGTCGAGAAAAATAGTTAAGATGCAATTGAGATATTCACAAACTCAATTAGAAAAAATGGCTTTTATTTTAGAGTTGTATTGATTTTCTGTCATTGCTATCAATAAGGTTGTTGGTGATTTCAGCTTTGATATGCATTGGATAAAATCAAGTGAATTTAGAAAAACCATCAATGAAAATCTTGCCTATAATTATAAGATGCGAGCTTGTGAATGGAGAGCAAATTATCAGAGATAGAGGGAACATGGAGAATATTGTTTAGATGTAGCTTAGCGTAAACCTGTACGCTATTGGCAATTGGATAATTGGGAGAGTTTTTCCATTGCCAACTGCTATTGAGTCGGATCCTGTATTTGGAGTGGGATGCTGGAGATGTCCAAGGTGCAGTGTATAGATGCACCAGAGTCCAGGAACCAATCTTTCAAAGTTGTTTGTTGTTGAGAGTATAAACCACCTAGCTAGGGAGGTGGACTGGGTCGATACTGTAAATTGCTTCGATGCCAATAAGTTGGTGTGGTGTACCCAATTTTGTTGTAAATCTAACATGATGTTTGATTGGATGTGAAAACACTGCGAGTTCGTCAAGCAAACTAGGAAGAGACTCATTAAAGTTGTGCTATTGTTGAGGTTTGAGCGACCTCTGTTGTATTTGTTCATCCGCCCTCTTGAAGCGAATAAGTCGTGTTGGATTGTATATGATTGAGAAAGTTTTAGATGTCATCAAGGCTAATAGGAGTTAGTATAGTTCTAATGACATTTTTGAAGGATTGATAGGTGTGAGGAAGGCTGTTGAGGATATATAGAATGACATACTCTAAATCGATATGAGGTCCAACATTCCAGCTATAGTAATGTTGTCGCTGATGTACTTGACATTGGATAAGTAATGAGAGATTGTTATGTCTTTCATTAGGACATTGTGGAATTCATTTTTGAGTTGAATAACTCTTGAGCGATTTGTAGGATGTAGGCGTTTTTCTAGAGTGCTCAAAATGTCAGAACATGAAGGGATGTTGTGTATGTAGGGTAGGATGATTAGGGAAATGGTGGAGATGAGGGTTGCTGAGAGATTCTGATCCAGGAGGGCCCAAGTGGTGTATGCAGAGTTGAGAGTGGGTTCAGGAGAGATTTTCGAGGGCAGATAAATTCTCATGTGAGGAAGCCTGCAAAGTTGCTTGGTGAGAACATTTTGAGTATCTTCAATCTCCATGTGGGATAGTTATCGTTGTTAAGCTAAATGCGTACCATAACTTTCATATTGGACATAAGAAATTTGAGAGACGATGGAAATGAGCATATATGCTATGTTGACAAGTTCAATTTGCGAGTTGGCAACAGTGTTGGAAGCACTTAAAGGTTCAAAAATCAATCTAGAAAGCAAGGAATAAGGAGCAGTTAAGCTTGAGGTGGCTTTGATACCATTGAAGAAGAAAGAGGAGATAAGAAGGTAGAGCAGAAAAATGTAAAAGAGTAAGTGTAGAAAGCCAACAATGTATTAATCTCATAACATGAATACAAAGGACAACCACTAGTACATATCTTGCATAATGTATACATAAATAGCTACATACATAGTGTATAGAATATTCTGAACTAATTAGCAAGTTGAAGATAACAGTCACTATGATGTGGAGTGATGGAATAGCATAGTGGAGAGAAGCCTTTTTGTGCAGTTGGTGATGGAGAGAGTACCAATCAGACAGCGAGCTTATCAATAACAACATGGACTAACGAAGCTTCATACTTAATTTGCATCCAAGATCAAAAAATTCCCACATAATTTGAGGCAAAGATCTCTATAAAAAGAAGGAAATGCTAAATTCAAACGATGCAAAAACATATCCAGCAAAATTGAACATTCTAATAACGAAAGAGAAATTAATCCTATTATGGTCGCCAAGGAAAAAAAAATCTAAGAACTTCGAAAGATCAATCGTCCTGCACTTGGACATTATTGATCTTTCATTATTTACAAATTGCACATCAGCGTTTCCAGTTTGGTTACAACATCTAGGAAGAAGTATAGTTGGGAAATACTTTGTTTTTAAGCAAAAAAAAAAAAAAAAAAAAAGCTTGAAAAAAAAAAAAAAAAAAGAATGAGCTTGATTCACACTATTATGTAGTAATCTTCATATACAAAGTCACCTTCCAACGCCCCTCCATTTTTACAACTAAACCCAAAAAAAAAAAAGAAATCTGATTTTCACAAGTACAAACTTTTACATAAAAAATAATAAAGAACCAGATCAATCAATCTCCATCACAATTAGAAATCTACCACCCGAATACCCATTTCTTCAAGCCTTTTATTCCCCTGTTATTTCTCTTCCAAATCATCCATTTTACTTACCTGAGATTTCTTCAGCTTCGCCACAAGCACCCACATGTTTGCAAGCTCGTTCTCCAGAAAGGCTTCCTTTTGTTTCGATTCCTCTACCTTTTTCTGCAGTTCTGTTTCTCTCTGCTCTTTCTCCATTAAAGCGGCTTCAAGCGCAAGTTCTCTCTCATAATTCAAGGTATAATCTCTCTTGTTGTTTGGTTCATGTCGCTTAATGTGGCTGTTCCCTCTGTTGACTTTCTGACCATTGGTTACTCTACGGTGAGAAGAATTCTTCAGCTGGGCCAATTCGTTGGTAAGCCTCTCATTGTGGTTCATTAGCTTAGTAACCTCTTCTGATAAAGCCTTCAACTCCACCCCTGCAGCTGAAGCAAGTCCCTTTGCATATTGGCTCTCCTCTGCTAGCTTCTGGTTTTGCGCTTCAAGTCCGTTTTTTGCTTCTGTTAGTTGGGAGATTTTGTGTTTGAGATCTTCAATATCATAATCCTGGGAGAAATAAACGAGGACAAAGTGGAGGATAATCAACTTAAGGAATGCCAAAATTACGCAATCAGGCATTATATGACCAGAAAATATATATAACAAGACAATTAAGTGAACAACTAGGATTTTAGCAGATTAAGGTTAAAACTGCCATGGCTAATACTCAAGGATTGAATGGGGCATCCCTCTAATTCTCTAAAAAAAAATATATCATTATTGACATGATCATTATCAATTTAACTTTTGCAATTATTTGGGGTTATTTTTAGGAATCCTCATCGTTCAATGCCACAATAATTAAATTTATTTCCCAACTGATGATTTCTCAATTAATACATTTTAGTTTTATTGCTCATTTATATATTTGTATCTGCCCAACACTTAAATACAAAGGTGATTTACCTTATCTGGCAACATGTAGTTAAACTTTGTTTCTCTAAACTCACAAAATTTCCTGTATACTATTTTAGCTTTTCATTTTAGAAAATTTCACACCAAATAAATTATGCCATCCCCACATAAAATAAACTAAGGTATCACAACAAATTTGGTTAAACTTCATCAAAGCTTCCCTCTTAACAACTTGGGAGATCAATAACTTCTACTTATAACTTCAACCATCTTATCCTGAATAAATTTGTTCCTATATTTGTCATGAAGCAAATATTTTACAACTTTCATAATTACAACTCTATATTGCAAGGGAAACTTTCTCACGAAATCACATTACAATTTCATAAATATTATAAAATGTCATCCACTGATTTCTGAAACTCTGATGAATCAAGGCAATGTGTTTGGTTGGAGAATCAGGTTGACAGGAAAATAATTTTAGTGGATAAAAGACTCTGAAAGACCATACATGTTGAAATTAAAAGGATTTATGTCGAAGCAGATGTGTTAAGACATTTCTAAATGCGTCAAGGATAAGATGAGGATCTAGAGAAGAATGAAGCATATTTGACCTTTACAATAAAGCAAATCCTGTTTTCCCAACACAAGAATTTGTATCATATCAAAAGGGCTTACATTTTGTGGAAAAACATTTGCATGTACAATAATATCAACTGATAGTTTGAATAAAGAAAAAAACACGAGTACTTACAGGATGTGCTTGTTGCAGCTCCGAATTTCTTTCTCTTGACTGCAAACTTTCTTTTCTTCCTTGTAGTTCATGATAGCTCATTTCATCAACGCTATATTGTGCCGAATTGATGGAAGAAGAAGTCCTCCTATCAAGAACTTCAGAAAGCTGTTGCTTTAGGGAAGTGACCGTCTCCTGTAATTCTTCACATTCACAAATCTGATCCATCAAGGAGATCGTGAATCAGATTTTTAATTATATTCTTAGGAAAGCAGTAGGAAAATTAGAAGAATGATATTCTACTTTATCTAACCTTTTGTTGTAACTGATCCTGGATTACTCGATTATCTGCAGTTTTTACCTGGAAAGATGATGATTTCTATCAAATCAGAAAAAAATTAAAAAAAAAAAGGCTGAACGAGTTTGATATAAGCAATTCTCAATACTAAGCTCACAGCATGAGTGAAAAGCAACACATGATTGGGGAAAATATACCCACAGTTCAAGAAAAAGGACAGCAAATGTGATAAGAAATTGCCTCTCACCTCAAGTTCAAAGGTCTTTTCATTTAGTTGTTCTACGAGTGCAGCATAGGACTGAATGAAAAGAATAGTACGTCTATTAGTGATGTTGCTTATTTAAAATAAAAAGCAAGAAAACTAAGGCTTTGTTTGGAAAAGCTTTTTTACCGCTTTTTGAAGCAGCTTTTTAATATAAAAATTAAAATTTTTGTACTAGAAAGTTGCTTCAAGAAGCAGTACAAAAGCTGTCCCAAACTAAGCCTAAATGTCAGTAATGGATGAGTTTACCGGTGAAATATCCAACTTTTCATGGTTATTTTTATGAGCAGAAAGAATAACAGCAATGTGTTTTTCCAAAGCAAACATTTGCTGGTTCTTTGCCTTTATCTCGTCACCAACTTTCCTCATCTCCACCTTAACAATCAACAAACATATTATGAATACATTACTCAAATAAATTGATCAAAAAGAAATGTATAAGGGAACAGCAATTACTTGAATTTGTTCCTTCCTAGGGTTATTTGCCGCCTCATCTGAAAGTCGTTTAAGAACACTTGAACTAAGAGCAACCTCTCCAGACAATATTTTTAGCTGTTCCCTCAGTAGATCAATATGATCCATAGTTTTTGTGCTATCCTGGTATAGGTAAAGAAATTTAATAAACATGCAATTAAGAGAAATACAAAAAGGATACGTCTAGCTTTCCCAAATTGATCGGATAAAGCTAATAATGATTATGAGGACAAACAAAGATATGTCTATACAGCAAAGTTGAGCTAGATGGGAATCTGTGGAATTATACGAGAGGTTATAGCACAAGTAGAAAATATGCACAAGAAAGTAGAAATGAAAGTCATTAATTGCATCGTAATTAAATTTTAATGTTGGTCTTAATTTTCTTTTCTTTTCTTTTAATTGCTTGGAAGCAATAGTTTTGTAATTAGGAGTGTCAAAGTATGATTAAGGATGCTAGCTATTTATAACCCTTTCCATTAGAAATAAATTTTTGGGTTTAGTCATTTTCAGGAATTTCCTGATGTAAGAAGGATTTCCTGTTTTGGAAAGGTGGGGAGAGAGCAGATCTTAGTGGAGTCCGGAAATCTACCACACTCAATCCCCGGAGCCCTAGACCTTCTCCCTCAGCCCTTTTGGGCTTGGTTACTGATTCGAGTGGCTAAAAAAGGTGGTCAGAAGATGTCCAAGCTGCCCCAAAAATGAAATCTTCTGTACATCAGCAAGAATTCCTCCGGACAAATGGCAGGCAATTCCAACTGGTTTATGGCTGGAAAAGTTCCCTTCAGTAGAAGGCGGAAATTCCAAATAATAGTAGTGGTCAGGAAGAAACAGAGAGCTACAGTTGAAATTTGGAGCATGTAATCTGAGATGTAAGTGTTTGCGTCATTGTTTATTTTCTTGTGTGCACTAGCAGGTTGATGTTGCTGCATTAAGAAAAATATTGCATGAAAACAAGATTAAGCATTAAGTGGTTTATAGCAGTTTGGAATATTTAGCAGCTAACACAAAGAACCATTGAAGCGATTGCAACCAAAATAAGTTGGAAGGAAATCTAATTCTACAATGTTTCTTCTACGTTCTATGGGTTTTTTCATGACAAATTACATGTTTATTTTTTCTTTAATGGAACAGTTGATCTAGCAATTGCTTTCCCTTAAATTGTCCTCAAATGGGTGGAATTCCCTATTTCTTATTGATGGGTTCACTGTTTAGTTATGTCCTAATGCCTCTATTAATTGTTACAAGACCTCATTAGTGGCAAAAGAATACACTCAAATCCATGGTATTGATTGTTTTAAGACTTTCATGAATTAAAAAAAAAAATTTATGAATTGCTCGTCTTAGATCTGTTCCAATTAATCAAGGATGGTTGATAGTATAAATGGAAGTTAGTAATTCTTTTATTTAAGAGAATACTCATCAAAACAATTTATATGGAGTAATCTTTCGATTTATTACTCAAGAGGAGAACAAAATATGTAAGCTTCCAAAAGCTGAAAATAGATGATAACTCCATAGAGTATAGAGTCCTCAAACCTGATTTGACAAACATTGCAAAGTTGTTGCAGACATTGGACTATAAAGTAGTACAGTTTATCACTCAATCTTTATTTAGTACTTTTCTTCTAAGATGTCTTAATTTCTCCAAGTAATAAGCTAAAACTTATTTTTATATACACTACAGCTTGAAGGGGAGATATTGCAGGAAATTTACTAGATTGAAAATTTTTATATATGTTAAGTACCAGATTATAGAGAAACATTTTCATTTCAATATATGTACTCTTAAGTGAGGATTTTCAACTCTTTATCTTGTAGGCAACTGATTTCAACCAACAGAACATGATATATTCTCTCTTTCAACAACGACAATAACTTATAAAATTAAACCAATGGAGTTACTAGCCTAAAGATAATATTGAAGAAATAAATCTTGACATTCTACAAGCTTTAGGCGTACCATGTGCTCCAGTACAAATTTACATTTAAAAATTTGTTGTATAATCACTTATATCAAAACATACCAGCGGTGTTTCTTGGAGTGAAACATTTTCAGAAGCAAGATCTCCATTGAGCGAGGCTTCTGCAAGAGCATTGACAGGAGAACTCTCTGAGAGTAAAGAATTTGAAATTCTTGATTCTGAAGGAAGGTTTGCACAATCTGCCTGGGGGGTTGAAGGTGTAGTAAGTGATTTCGTGCCACTAGACTTATCACCTTCAGAACTTGTGATAGCACTATCTCGCTTCTGGAGGAATAAGAGTACACAGAGAGAGAACATTACTTAAAAATACCTCTTACGTATAATTTAATTTAACTTACAACAATGAAGAGATACATTAAAAATAACAAACTGATACATAGACACTGCATAAAATAATGGGAGCAAGCAAAGTACCATGATTGTAAAGCTACACATGAAATGTGTTCTTTTAAAAGAAGTGGGAAAATACCAATAGCAGTGACGTCAACAGTCACAAGTCATTATGTTTAAGAATTTAGCCTTTTGTTAAGGTTGTCATTCAGTCAATGGTCTTTAGTGGCACAACATTATGTCGTTATTATTTCACCACTCAATCTATTATTTGCCAGGCATACGATGCTTGTAATTATCTGAATGTCAGCAGAGTTAGAGTATCAATAAATTTATTGCTAGTATTTGAAGTCTTTGAAGATGGTTAATTACCGTTGCAAAAACGACATTTGCCTTAGCATTCTTCCTCTTAGTTGATCTCCCCCCTTCTCCTAATCATATGGCTTCTTTTTGCTTTTTTCTCTTTACCTCCTGCATTCCCTATTTTGAGCCATTCATTCTTATAATCTTCTTAATCTCCATCTCTTTACCCTTAATTTCTACGAAACCAAATTCCTCTTCTCAACAAATCAAAATCAAAACTTCCAACACGATCTTTGATTCTGCTGCCTTTCAAGTCAAGCAGACCAAAATGATGCAATTAATTCGGTATTTGACAATTGTAACCAACCTTTTCATCCTTGTTTTGGCCCTTTTTTTTAAATATTGATCATTCAAGGAACTGTAGAATTGTATATCAAAAACAACAGATAATTTTTTAAATCAGAACTGTAACACTGCACCGCCTTACATTCTTTAAAAAATTATCAAGATTTTATATAAGGACATACGTAGCATAGTGTTAGTATCAAGTTCACTCTACAACAACAACAACATCAAGCCTTTATCCTACTACGTGGGGTCGACTACATGAATCCTTTTTCTCCATTGTGTCCTATTAAAAGTCAGATTCTCATTTAAATCTAATAAAGAAAGGTCATTCATAATATTTTCTAACTAAGTCATTTTAGGTCTGGCTCTACCTTTCTTAACATAAGTCAAATCTAATACTTCTACTTTCCTAACCGGGTCATCGGAAAGCCGCCGTTTTATGTGACCAAACCATCTAAGGCGACTCTCTCTAATCTTATCTTCTACTGGAACTATAATGGTACCAAGAAGAATTGATACAAATTGGCATCTCTTCTTGAATGATGTTCATCCTTATTGCCATTTACCTCCATGAAAACCCATTCAGGTGTACTGAAAAATGCATGCAACTTTTCTTCATCCTGACACACCATCTGCTATTCTTCAAATAACAAGCCCCTGGCCATCAGGTGCATGCTAGCATATGGTGAAGGTGTGTATCTCACAGTGCAATGCCTTGTTTAGTGCTCAAAACTACAAGCAGAGCCTTTAGCAAGCTCAAGAAACTCTGAGGAGATCACTAAGATGAGTATTGTATGAATCCACAACAATGTTGCCCTCTGTTAGAGTTCGCCTTGCTCAACTGACATCATTAAACATCTAGCAAGGTCATCATTGTCGCCTTCAACCAAAATGTCAATTCATCATCAATTTTGGCCAACATTATTTATCCCCTATCATAGCTACCATCGTTGACTAAAACCTCGACTAAGTTGACAATACCATTGTCATAATTATCATCATTCTTCAATAAAACTAAACACTGTCTTTGATCCACCTCAACAATATCTTTGACAACTTAGACTTCATCATTGCTAACTTCGACCATATCATCACCACCACCCTAACTATGACTTTGGCCATGCCCATGACATCCATGACAATGTCTCTGACCACCTTAATGACATCTATGACAACATTATAATCACCACTAATTTCTTGAAATATATAAATAACATCATCATCACCCTCAACAATGTCTCAGGCTACACAAAAAATATCATATATGACAATGTACCTAGAAATATCAATGAGGTCATCATTTCCAAAATAGTCATCTCAACAAAGCCTGACCCAAAATGACCGGGTCACTTAAACAAACAAAAAGCTTAAAATGACCCATTCATGGGGTCTCATTAGTGTTCGGTTGATAAGTTAAAATGACCAGTTTGGCTCAATATGATCTACTTGGCATGTTAGTAATTTGACAAGGACCCATTTAGATGCTAATTGTCAGGGCTAAACTCATCACATAACAAAAGAAAATAATGTTGTATACTATGAAAATATAAGGGTGGGGTGCATGGCCCCTGATTAACCAACAAACTAGCTCAACAAAGCCATGGTTGATTTTTTGTCAACTTGTTGACCAAAATAATCAAGTATTATTTGACTCATTTGCCCTCGATTGACTTAAGTGAACCAAAGTTGACTTAAAAGTCTAAGATGCTCTAGTGTTAACCCTATTGGACCACAATTGCGCAAGCTAACCTAAGGTGGCACTTGTGTTGCTAGCCCAATGATTTTGATTAACCCCACACATCTCACATGATTAATATTCTAGACCCACCCAAGGTTTTTGTTCTCGATTTTGATGTAAAGCTCATGGGTGGCCCTAACTTTCTTTCTAATGCTTTATAGGTTAAACATTTCTAGCACAGAGGAGCTTGCAACTAAGATGTTTTTAACTTATACATACCAAAAGGAAAGAAAAAAAAAAGAAAGTATATCCTTCACAAACTGAAATAAACCAAGCTTCAAGTTAGCCGTTTTTATTTTGGTCCCTTAGGCTGGTCTATTTAGCTATTAGTTCTTCGCCACATATTGGCTTTATTAGTGATTTTCATTTTTATTTCTTTTCATCTAGGAAAGCATTGCATGTGTTTCATGTCGTAGCCTTTTTTTTAAATGATAATAATAGATGTTTTCATTTTTAAAAAACAAAAGTAAGGTGGCACATATGGTCCTGATTGACCCAAGTGGTTTCAATGGACTCAAGGTCAAGAGTCAACTTGACAAAGTCAAATTGTTAAAATAATTCCCCACTACCAATTAAGGTCTAATAAGCGAAACCTAGATAATTAATGTTGACCAAACTTAATTGGGTCCATGCACACAAGCAATTTGATCTAGGTCAATCCAATTAGGTCAAAGCGAGCTTAAATTTTTTTTATTTATTTTTTAAAGCGAGCTTAGATTTGATCATGGCTTGTGTGCCTAAGGTTCAAATCAACTTTAATGCGCCCAAAGCACCCTATAATTTATGTTTGGCTCCCATAAGCCAACTAATAGCGATCAATTCACATTTATATTCTCATTGGATGGGGCAGGCCCACCTAATTATGTATAATTTAAACCACATAGCTCAACAGTTCACTATGAGCATAAGCTTAATTATGTCCTCATCACTCTCCCGGGGTGAAAAAAGGCTTGAATCCGTCGAGTATGCATCTCGGGTGCTCTCGTAGAACTATAGTGTGTCTGGGTCAATCTGCTGAAGCTCCTCACGCTATAACCTGGTGTCCTCTGGCTCAGGCTTGCCTCTCCACCTAATCAAATACTTTCTTCGATCACCCTCGTTTGTGGAAATAATATCATCACTTAAAATCATACCAACCTTCTTCGCTATAGGTATTTTAGAAACATTTGGGAGTGGAGGTAAGCTTGGGTTCTCACAAGGTGGGGTCACACAAGGCTCAAATTGAAGTGGATTTGGTGGGTTACACTCCAGATCCTCATAGGCAACCAGATCTTCTATGTTAAAGGAGGGATTAATGTTGAATATTGCAGGCATATCCACCTCATATGCATTGTCATTGATTCTCTTGATTATTTTGAATGGCCCTGCACTTTCAACATGTAACTTCTTAACAGTTCCTTGTGGGAACCGTTCCGGACGAATCTGCACCATCACTGAGTCACCAACCTTTAAAATTTTAAATCTTTGTTTAAAGTCAACAGGAAGCTTATAATTAATGTCGCTCTGCTCAATTTTGCATATAATTTCCTTATGTAAATCATGCAAATGTAGATGCAGACTCAAAAATCTTATACCTATGACACATGGGTATGAGATCTATCAACGGCTTAGGATTGAGCCCATAAACAGTTTCAGCAAGACTTAAACCAATGGCACAGGTCATAGAATAAAGGTAGGCAAACTCGACTGTGGGGAGTTTGGATAGGGAGGCTCCAGGGACTAGATTTAGAACATATTGGCTGTCTTTAATTGAAGGTAATTGATCAGGAAGATCATCAGGGAAGACATCAACAAGTTTACTAAGTATGGGTTGAATCTCCTAAGGGCCTGGTTCGTCAAACTCAGTGGAAGTCTCACGATCGACTAAGGCATGCAAGGGTGCGCTTTGGGCTATGGAAGCTATTAGGTTCAGTCCCTTCTTGGATTTGATAAGGCAGGATTCAAGATCATCCGTAACCCAAGGCTTTGATGGCAAAAGCTTGATCTTTTTGCCCTCATTTTCAAACACGCAGGTGTTTGAACGTTCATAGATGTGGGCATCATTGTCAAATAGCAGGGGACGACCTAGAAGGATTTGTCCAACATTCAAAATCAACACATCACACCAAACATTCTCCTTATTAACAGGGAAGCAGATAGGTATGAAGCTTCATTTCTTTACCTCCAAGGTAGTGGTGTTGACCCAAGCTACCTTATAGGGGTTGGGGTGAGCAACGACAGACAGGCCAAGCTTAGACACCATGCCGGAGGAGACAACATTAATGCAGCTGTCACTATCCACGACGACTTTACAGTTCTTATCCTTGATTTTGGTGTAGGTTTGAAAGATCGTAGTTCTATGCCAGTTGTCAGTGACAATGGGTTGTGACAGTGCGCATCTAAATACGCAGGTGGGAGAAGTGTCAATTTTCTAAATGTATTGGATGACAACAGTGTCGTCATCCTCCTCAAAGAATTCACCATTGTTGTCCGCCTAATAAATCTGGTCGACTTCAGGCTCGAATTCCGACTCAGTGATCTCTTAGATAATCATGACTTTGTATGG